GAGCTAATCCTACGCACACACTGCAGTACGACAGCCAGCAAACCACACCACTGAGCTAATCCTACGCACACGCTACAGTACGACAGCCAGCGACTCACGGGCATGGGCTCCCGCCACGCGGCGCCGATGATGGATGGTCGGATGATGGCGGTCGGGATGTCGCCTCTGCCCTCGGCCACCAGGTGTTCTGCGAGCGCCTTCGTGTACGTGTACGTGTTGGGACGCGATCCGAGCAGGTGTGACGTCACGGCATCACACATGTCATCGTCCATCCACCTACACAACAGATAGAGAGGGTGTGAGAGAGAGATAGATAGAGAGGGGGAGAGAGGGGAGAGGGCAGATAGTGAGAAAGAGAAAGGGAGAAAGGGAGAGAGAGAGAGAGAGAGAAGAGAGAAAAAGAGAGAGGGAGAAAGAGAGAGAGAGAGAAGACAGAAAGCGAGAGAGAGAGAGAGAGAGAAGAGAGAAAACGAGAGAGAGAGAGAGAGAAAGAGAAAGAGGGAAACAGAGAGAGGGAGAGAGAGAAAGAGAGAGAGGGAGAGAGAGTGAGAGAGAGAAAGAGAAAGAGAGAGACACAGAGAGAGAGAGAGAAAGAGAGAGAGAGAGGTGGGAGAGCAATGAAAACACAGTATGTACGTATGCATGTATAAATCTATACGTACATATAGAGGCGGCATATATATTCCATTGTGGTGGTTGCACATTTTAACTGCCATGCAAAGAAAATGTCTAAAGTGTCATTTACAGACAGGTGTTCCTTCTATGGAGGTGGTTTCATCGCATAACAACCACTCAAAGGAAACACGCCACACGTGTCGTTTACAGACAAGTGTACATTCGATAGCGGGGCCTGCTAACACAGGTTTAACTGCATACAGGCTCGACTGTTCTACAGTAGGAAAACCCGGCGAGACAAGGAGACAAAGAGCGTTCCGGGCCGTTTGTTTATTTATTGGAATATCCCACCATATAAACTCGTGCACAGCGTTTCCCCTGCATTGACACGAGCGAGGCGTGTCTATTTTAGTGCGAATTTACCACCTCACAGACATTTTTGGCCCGGGGAACCACTGCGTGCATATTAAATATTTATTGAATAGACGCAAGTTCACGTACCTCTCTACGCCAAACAAGATGTGTGTATCTACTGATAACTAGAGGAAACAATATATTGGAATGGTAAGACAAGGAAACTCTGCTGAAATGATATGATGCTCATCACAGACTTATTGCATACAACTTGCTCATACAACTGCTGCAAATTACATTCACTCAACCACTAATGTAATAAATAAAAGAGAAGGTACTTGAAAGAGTTTCGTGGTTAAAACGTTAGTATTATTTTTAGTAATTTAGCATTATGATATCATGAGACGATAACAAACAATATACAAGTGCTGCAGAGCGACAGCGCTCAACTGACGTGTACTGTAGCCGGGTATTCTTCTGATAAACTCACTGGCGCTCACCTGGCACCCGAATCAAAGTGCGCGCCAAATCCGCGCGCAACGCTGCGGGCCAGACATCGGGCGTGATATACCGGCTCTTCGCCTCATACCCGGTAGTAAACATGTAATAAAGAATGATAGCCTGTGTAAAACTTTAATATGAGCTTCGCTATACGTTAACCGTTACTCATGGAGTATGGCGTCGTCAGCCGACCCGAGCATAGTGGTGCGGTTGGGTGGGGGAGGGGTGGGTGGACGGTTTGGGGGGGGAGCCAGGTGGCGGGGACTTGGCTTACATGCACGCAGAAACGCAGGTTCAGCCTTCTTCTGTCTAAACCAGACACAGCACAAGTTCACTGTTTCACGGAGCGGCCCTGGCCTCTTGGAAGGGGGTCAAAAGGTGTATTCAGACACTTACTCTTCGGCAACGTGGCAGGCGAAAAGGTCAGATCTTCCCATGGGATCCTTTCAATAAAGTGAAAAAAAATGGGCTGGTCAGCGCTGCAAGACAAAAAGCATTTTGCAACTCAGTATGTTAGAACCCCATGTCCTCAGTAAAATGTGTGATATCTGACCTTGGTCGCACCCCTGCCTTTGAGCCCTGTGACCTCGCAATTCTGCACATGGTGATTTCGCTCGCGTTTCCTCGCCAATCACCTATACCCACCCCAGAATATGCTGGAGGGGTAGGCTCGCGAGGTCCCGTTGAGATTTAGTGGCTGGCGGGCATTTCCGGTATTTCCTGGCGTATATCTTAAGTTTAAAGCGGCGGGACAATATTCCCGTCATTGAACAGTTTTGACACATCTCGGACCTTTGACCCTCTGACGGCCAGCTAAATGTCGACTATCTGGCCGAGTCCTTCGTCGATCGCAGAACCGGCGCTACCGCCGCCCCACGTGCGCCATATCAAGATCGATACGTCGAGGCGGGCTTAAGATTTGATGCGTGCCACACCGGAACGGACGACAACGGACCGGTCAACAGACGGACGATGCATCGGCACGTGGCGTTGCTTTCGTATTGGGACAATTCCCGACCGCGATTGCTACTAAAGCTGGCCATCTCGCTCTCCGTCCAGCCTGAGCGCTAAGAACAAAATCGATAGAGTAGGTATTAATACTCAGCAATACATAGTACTTACACATCACACATGCCCGTCTGGTAGCCAGATTGAATATCGACTAAACATATTACAGCACAATAGCTAGGAGCAAAATTAAAACAGATGTTTGTTTAGGTCAGTCAAGCTTTCTCACAATAGGATACGCATTAGAATATAGTATCATATACGGAATAGTATCTATATATATAATATATAGTAATCATATATAATATATATTATGCCGATCGAATGCACTTTCATCAGTCGCTATGCCTATATTATGACCGAGCTCGTGGATTTCATGCGTATGTGACAGCGTTATAAGAAGATGAAAGGAGCCGGTCAGGGATTTGATATTTCCCGTAAGCTCACTGAGACCCAGCGCGTCTAATCAGGGTGCTGTGGACACATGGCCGGTGAGATAAGACCGCACTCGCTCTATCTCCTTCCTATCACAGTTGGGCGTACGCGCGTTCGATGAATTGACCCCCCAGAGAGTGCCCTGAGACGCAAGATACTGTAAAATTGGCCTTTTGTTCTGTGGGTTATTATTTCGTGTTATTCGATGTTCGTGGGTCTTTTATTCAATGCCACTGAATTATGTACGCCCACACGAACATATTAGTGTAGCATATGTTCAATTTGCCGGTTCCGGAGTGGAGGCACCGCAAAGACGCGGAACGGCCTTGTCGCCCTGTGTGTGAGTACTAGTAATATATACTATCAACACACGTCTCAGACATGTTTTAGTGCAGAGTCTACTCGGGGGTTAGTATTGCTGTTTGTATAACATTATTAGGTTATATATTTTTGGGGAAAATAAATTCCTTGGGGAAGGCTTGATCGCACGAATTTTAAAAGCAACGAAGCATGGTTATTCTTTTATTGAAACAAGAAAATTGAAACCCAACCGAAAATGAAGTAAGACTTTACAGTAGAGTTTAACCCAAACAGCCACGCCATACACACAGACCACCTAAACACACCACGAGACCCGGCACACCCGCGCAGGCATGGAAGGATCCCCTACGCACAGCCTAGCAGCTATCGCTGTCACTAAGACGTTACAGAACTAGATACATGTCATGTGGCACATAGAGGTATAGCTCAGGCGACGAAATGGATGTATAAGGGGCGGTAATCCACCGTGGCATTAAAACAGGACTAGTTGCTATGGTAGCCACAATAAAGTATGGCAGCAAGAAGGTAACCACCACGTATGACGGTGGCATTAGACAAGATACATTGCTATGGCAGCGAAAATGCAAGTGTGGAGCAGAGGTACCCAACAAGGTATAACGGGAGCTTAGACAAGATAATTGATGGTCATACTGGATGGTATCATAAGTACAAGGCTAAAGGCATGTGTGAAAAGCTTACATTGCTGATCATTGGCTGGAAGCTTGCCGACACAGTAGTGTGATGACATGTTTGGTACTCCCACGCCGACGTTTCAGAGTATGGCTATGCTGTAACGGCGAGAAGAGTTAAAATGCAAGTGCCTGTAGATTTGAGCCAGGCCCATATCCTGTCGCTCTCTGTCTGTCTCCTCTCACTGGGTGTGCTCTGCTCTGTGCTGCTGTCTGCTGTCTCTGTCTGTCTGTGTCCCTCTGTCCTCTGTCTGTCTTAGTTCTCTGTCGTCTGTCTCTGTGCTGTCTGCTGTCTCTGGTTCTCTGTCTCTGTGTCGTCTGGTCTCTGTTCTGCTGTCGTGCTCTCTCTCTGACACTCGGCTATTCTCGCGCTGCTCTTCTCTGCGTGCGGTCTCTCTCGAGTCTCTCTCTGCTCCTCTCTCTTCTTGGTCTCTGTCTCTGATCTCTGTCCTCTGGTCTCTGTCCTCTAGTCTCTGTGTCCTGGCATGTCTCGTGTGCTACTGGTCTCTGTCTCTGTCTGCTCTGTCGGTACTCGTCTCTGGTCTCTGTCTCTTGTCTCTGTGCTCTGTGCTCTCTGTCATCTGTCGTCTGTCCTAGTCTCTGTCCGTCTGTCTCTGTTGTCTGTCTCTGTTCTCTGTCGTCTGTCTCTGTCTCGTGTCTCTGTCTCCTGTCTTATCCTCTCTCTTCCTCGTCTCCCGATAGTCTCGTCTCTCTCCCGTCTCCTCTGCTGCGTTCTGTGCCCTCCCTCCTCCTCCCTCGCCTGCCCCTCACGCTCCCCTCTCATGCGGAATCCATGCTCCACCTCCCCCGCTCTCTCTCTCCTCCTCACTCTCTCTCCTTCTCTCGTCTCTCGCTCCTACACTCGGTCGGGTCTCCCCGTCCTCTCTCTTGCTCTGGGTCCATCATCTCGTCTCCTTCGTGCGTCTCTCGGTCTCTCTCCGTCTCACGACTCAGCTCCTTTCCGTCCTTCCTTTTCCCCCATGCCTCTCTCTCTATCTAGCTCTCACGCCTGGCAACCCACAATAATTGAGCTAGTTAACTGAGTGGAAAGTACAGATCAAATTGTAAAGGCACAGCAACCAACCCAGAACTACATTCCAACAGTTGCTAAGCTCAATCGGGAAGCACGCCGTAAAATGATTGCCAAGGGCCCGTGTTTACACCGACTCGCACCGCAAGCATGAAAATTAATCTTGGGTGCTTTTTCAAAAAACTTAAACACTGTCAGTGGACAAAGTTTTTAAACTGTATCGAGCGCCGAATGTACCTGTATATGTACAGCCAAGAAAATTACGATGCCAATCATAGCCGTGTGAATTCTCACATCAATTTTATCTTGGCTTAGCTAACGCGCATCTTGCAGTAACTGTCACGGTAACTAGAATATTACAAACAAGATAAGTCTCACTCTATCCAACTACGCATGATTGACGTTTAATCGTGTATCCCGGGCGAGGTTGATATTGACACCGGTGCGCCTAGGACTAGATTGGGTGTTTTAGCCGGCTTGCATCGGGAAACTCTACTTCTAAACCGGTCTATAAAAACTAGTATGAGTATGTACGAGCTGAGAACGATGGTATGTCGGAAACGATTGGAATATGTTTACATAATCCGGATACTCATTCGAGTATCGGGGCGACGCGTTCTATGCCACATATGTCTAATGAAAACCCATAACACTTTACGGTTTGCATCGGTGATAAATAGAAAATTTCAGACGTTCCTTCAGAGATGGCCAATTACTCGGATCACGCTAACTATAAACTGGGGTGCGCGGCCGTTTGAGGAAAACGTCCTGCCCCCTGTTTGATCGTGTTGCGGCCCGTTTTAAATTACACCGACAAATCTAAAAGTTTGCTAGCAGCGGGAATGCCGATCGGCCCTCAGAATTGCGTGGTTCCGAGCCACGGCAGGCAGAGTTGAGGGAGACCAGGAACATCCGTGCCGCATGCGCACGAACGACAGATAGCACAAGTTAACTCTGAACAATGGCACAGATTAACCTGTCCCTAACCTGTACACCGATCGCTATCTATATTATAAAAGAAGGGCCAAATAACCGTCTATGGGTGTGGTGGCGATTTTGAACGGCATTAATTAGTCGTAACGGTAAATACCGCCGG